AGCAAGCACTTGGTGACGGGGGCAAGGAAAAACTTCCTTTTAAGAGGCAGAAACCTAGGACAGACCCTGGCTCTAGGTGGCGGGCCGTCTGCCTCGACCAGTACACTCAGGACACTTTTCTTATAGAGTTAGACTGTAGAGACCCGACAGTTCCCACCATGAGCAAAAGTGATGTGTCGGTCACAAACGAGTTGGTTCAAAGAGCCGGCTCTCTTAAGTGAACGATGGGAGTCAGCTCCCGTCTGTGACCCGTTTCTTTTATTTTTTTTAAAGTAATACAAGGCAGAATAATATGATGATCTCTGCTACAGGTGCTCCCTGCATGCAGTTGGTTTTATTTGTCCAGATGTCAGTGGTGGGCACTAACAAAGCACAATTACTTGAGTCCTGTATTTAATTTTAGTACTTTACTTGTTTTCCCTTTTACAAGGGTCTGTAAATGGAATAAAAACAGTTGGCTACAGCAATTTATTGATATTAGAAAATGTAATTCTTACTTTAATATAAAGGATGTATTTAATAATTTAAGTGATATATGTGTACAGCACTAAATTTGGCCGAATTATAAAAGATATAAGTGGTAAAAGAGAAAGAAAGAGCTGGCTCTTATTTGGTGAGCTGAGCCAAATGATCTGGCTCACTGAAAGACCCAGTATTACCATCACTAATGAGCAGCACTTGGCGACAGCAGCAAGGAAAAACTCCTCTTTTTTAAGAGGCAAGAAAAATAAACTGATACTGGTTACTTGGAATTAATTCAGTTACTAGAGAGGGTGGATCTAAGATTTTCTCTTCATATTATGTTGCTATAAAGATGCCTGGTTGCTTGTTTTTGTGAAATGTGAAAATCTGTCAACAGGAAAACATGTAATTCAACAGGTGAATTATTTTCCCAGCACAGTTTTTCTGGTAATTTTCCAGTAAGACAGTAATTTGTAGCCCATCCTACACACACTAACACACATGTATTCATTGTTTTCATCCAGTATTTGGGCCTGTTTATGTTTGTACATCCATCCAGTGGTGACTCTTGACTGGTTTTATTGCACAGAGCTGATTAGATCAGGTAGCTTCAATGTCTCACGCTTATAATACACCAAATTTCATGAAAATTGGTTCACAATTAAGCGAGTTGCAGCTGATTTTGTAGTGAAGACTGAATCTCTCAGTACTGCTAACTAGCTTATTATGACCTCTCTTATATGGCGGCCATCCAGGGAGCGTAGGTATATCTCTTACATACCTTGGGCGGGGCGTCCGAGCCCGGGTACTCCCTCTGATCCAGCTTGTTCCAGCGCTGCATCAGCTTGATGACCATGGGGTTGCTGAAGTCGACCAGCTGAAAGCCTGTGACGTTGGCTCCGCCGTGCATGAAGCGCTCCAGGTTGATGTCCTTAAAACCCTTCAGGGAGAAAAAAGAGAGCGGTCATGGAAGGAAACAAGCAGCAATAAAACCAAAATAATTCATATAATTTTATAAATCATTAGCCGAGACGCTCACAGCTGGCTACTGTAGCACTGAACTATTTGATTTGATTCCTCTTTAATCAATTAGGGGGATAAAAGCAGGTGAGAAACGGGTCTAAATGCTCTTTAGCACTGATCCATCATCACTAAATGTTCCTTGAAGGCTGTCAGAGAGAGCTGAACATTACAGCAGTCTCTGTCAGACCTCAGTAGTTTCCATGGTTATGAATTCAAGCCCCTGACACTTGTAACCGCAGCATTTTTACTGAGCAGCTCCTAAAGGATATGTGCACATTTTTTTAAAAGTCTGCCTTAATGTGATGCCCACGTGGCCGTATCTAACCTGCTGCTGTAAATGTTCCTGCTGTTCTTTACTGGCCCTGAAGAAATCCTTTTGCAACGTGATTGCAATAGAGACAGAGGACAAGATCCAACAGTCCTTATTCTGTTTAAATATAATAATAATAATGATAATAATAATAATAATAATAATAATAATATAGTGCATCAAGCTGAAAGGTAATATGAGGCTGCAGGTATCGAATATCCAACATTAGGATGTTTTTGTACGTTTTTTGTTTCAATATCACAAAATCTACTATGTGTGGTCAAAATCTTTATAAGTGAAAGTTGTATGTAGTTTCTAATTTAGACTATTGAAGTTTATCTTGTCTGCAGTGGTTTTTAAACTGTGGTCTAGGGACCTACAGGGGTCCTCAGGTGGGTTGTAGGGGGTCCCCAGCTAAAGGAGGAATAGTTTTACTCAATTTTTTAGAAGTGAGAACAACAAGGGTTGGTCGTTTTTATTGTGATCCAAGTTTAAAACATAAAAAAAAACTCAAAGGGGTTTCCTTAAGATAAAATAATTTCAAAATAAGGGTCTGTGGTCTAATGTGTATCTATTGATCTTTCCTAAATCCTTCTAAGTCAACTTTCTCCTTACCTGTACTTATATATGCTACATGCTAGGCTAATCTATGTTGCAAAGACAACCACATTTTTAAGATGTTTTAAAGATAAAAGCCACATATATATAGTCAAGTACTCTCTGAATCTGTGAAAATATTCTGATAAAATCATTAATATAGGTTGTGTAACCTGCTTTTAGTTATTAAAACATTTCCTTTTCGTGTTTGTAAAATATGTTAGAAGATGTATTATTAATGTGTTTTCACTTAAAGAAAACTAGGAAATAGTTAATTTTTATATTATTTACATTGTTTTTTACAATATAAACAGGAAAAAGGCACAAAACCTTCATTTTCTGATTTCTGATGATTTCCTACATTAGAAACTTCAAACAACCAAAAAGCAAATATAAAAATGAGAAGAACACAGAGAGAAAATTGTATAAAAAGTATTTATACAAACTCCCTGCTGTTATTGTGTTTACTATTTGGGTTCATTGTGCAGTTGCAGTTTATTACTTGTTCTCTACTATTATTGTTAAATATAACCATAAAATATGTCCCTTAATCAGGGGTCGTCAGCTGAGTCGATGATAGAAAATGGGTTCTTTAAGCAAAAAGGTTCTTAAAATGAAACACAACTGTGCTTAATTGTCTATGTACAATAGTAAATACAGCCAATCTTTCAACCATATTTAAATGTGGATGTCTTTTAAACTATTATTGGAGCACAGAGCACAAATTCCCCATAATTGACCCTTGACATGAAGAAAGGTTTGGGGAAACCTCTGTGCTGTAGCTATCAACTCCTATTACCAACCCCTTTACAGGTACTGGGACACACTCTACACATCAGTATCACAACACTGTTTAAACACATGGACTGAAACAACAAGGTCGGTGGCAGCAAACAAATATTAGAGACGACGTAAAGACGACAACAAACAAACACAGTAGACCATCATAAGTGATTTTCCCCTCACCAGGTTGGCCATGATGTAATGGTAGCCTTTGACATGTTTCCCGACGCTGACAATCTGCGAGGAGGCGGAGCACAGCTCAACGTTAATCTGACTGGATTACAGCATAACACATGTTAATTACATTAAATGATGCATGTGACAGGCGAGCGTTTGTGTCTACGACACGGTGGGACCGTCAGGTTTAATCCGGCGAAGATCGGACGTCTAAACAAATGAATCAGCGCAGTCGTGTCAGTATCTTCTCACAGAGGAAGTTAACACTTCACGGCGTTCAAAAGATCATTACAATGCTTCCACACACACACACACACACCACACACACATCACACACCACAACACACACACACACACACAGGGACAAGCACAGAGCTGCATCTTGGTGATAAAAACTGATTTTGAAAGCTGACATCTGCTGGGAAAATCCCACCGGACATCCAGTTAATAAGGGCGTGAATTAATCTGAAAGAGAAAAAAATTAATAAAAAATGCTTTGGATCTCTTAGAAAAGCCGACGTTGATGTCGGTTCAGCTTCACCGCTGTCAAGACCTGAGCGTCAGGTGGTCATCAGCTGCAATGTGCAAGATTAGAATAGAAAAAATACATCCGTTATATCAATCTCAATCACAACGTGAAGCCGGAGGAGAGATCCACGAGGCCCTGAGAGGTTGGAAATAAGTTATTTTGTGCACACAACAAATCACTTTGAAGTAGTTCCAATGAAAAAGTCTGAAAATAAAATAAAAACACATTTCATAAGCATCTTTACAAGAGAACTACCTTAAAAGAAGTCATTTTTAAAGTGTTTCACACAAAGTAAATCAAAGGTTTTCTGGTGTTACAAACATGAGGAGTTTACTGACCTTAAACTACATGATTTATGGCTGTTATTTATAAGTTTTTAACCATCAAACATAATCATAAACTGCATTGTTATTGTTGTTGTTGTGACAGTTTGTTTGCAGACTTTTTATGACGGTGGTGGCTCAAGTGGGGCGCTGACTTATGCAGGGGTGGCATTAAAGTAGTCCCAAGTTATGCAATCCCAACACTGACCCCAGTATGCATAAATATTCAAATACATGAGGTGAAACACATTTATATCACATGTTTCTTTGCCCAAAACTGCATGTGATTAGCATAAAGTGAGCGTGTCTGTAAAGGGGAGACTTGTGGGTTCCCATAGAACCCATTTTCATTCAGATACCTTGAGGTCAGAGGTCAAGGGATCACTTTATTTCCCCAAAATTTAGCCTTAGTAGCATTAGCATTATTTAGCCTCCTTCCCAACATACTACGGGTTGCTTTAAGTCATCTAGTTTCATGTGATATCAGCATCTTTAAAACAGAACCTCTGGAAGACAGAGCAGAGTGGAAGAGGGAAGGATAATGGGGTGTCCCTGGGTATGTGAGGGGGTCTGAGTTTGGGGTATATGTGCTTTAGCGTGTATGGTTCCTATATTTATGTGTTAATGTTTTGCATTCTCATGTGGACCCCAGGAAGAACAGTTAGTTAGATCCAAATAAACGTCTGAAAATTCAAGTAGGAAATGCTGCTCTGATCACTGTTGTTGCATTTACGTGATTCTGATGATAAATTCAGACAGAGGACTGGAAGTGAAAGAGGAAAGTTTAAACAATATAAAGAGAGAAAGGTACAAACACAAAACACTCTCTTTCCAACTGGCTCACTCCAAACTCCTTTGATAAAAACAGTCGTATAACCTTGCAGAACACGGGAATTTGCCGGTCTACTGCCGCATCGATAGGTTACTTTGTTTGTGTTATTGTGTGACTTTGATGATCCAAACTAAATTGTTAAATCACCAAAGTCAGCCTGGTGGCTCTGAAGAGAGCATAGATGGATATAACAGCTGTCTGAAGGCGAGGTAAAGTGGTGAAAATAGTCCAAATATACTGGCATTTTGAGAGTTTGTGACGGTGCCTCCAATGTATAAAATCCTGTCCTCCATCTACAGTTGGCGCCACAGGAACGCAGTGACACTGTTTCATGTGTCATTAAGCAGGGGGAGCTTATAATTAAGTGGTACATTTATTACAGCGCTCTTTTAAAAGGCAGAACCACGCATACTGTATTTAACCTTGTGCTGCTGCGGCCTTTACGTTAATGCGATGACATTCACCAAGTTTGAACTGTAACAGATCCGATCGTCGTGACTTTAAGGTTAAAGTAACGCATTCAGACACGAGACCGACATTAAATGCATGTCTTAAAGGGGAGAAAGGGCCTTTTGGTGACATTTAGTCAACCTCTTGGACTTTGAACTTTAAACCAATAAAGTCTCATTTTGCAGCTGTTCAGTACAGTTTGTACTACTTGCAAATTAGCTGCCAGCATCCCCATCTGTAAATGAACCAGGTTTGCATTCAGAGATTTCACACTTTGACATTCAAAGTAACATCTGGCGGCTTATAAGCCTTCATACGTACTGACCGTGTTTGGTAATAAGCTGCTAATGAGGCCCAATTATGTATTCAAATCCTTGTCCTGGATCAGTAGAATTTGGCGAGATGTAAATATGAACAGGATGACAGTTGGCCTGAATTCAGGCTAACATAGATGTTTATGTTTTGGCGAGCTCTGAATGTGACCACGAGTCCGTCACGTCTGCAAGGTAAATAGTTATTAGAAATGTGGCAGATGTCAGGAGTGGAGATTTCCTGAATAATTGAACAATTGCAGAGACACCAGTTGCCCCAGGGAAAGATGGAGGGATGAGGAGGAGGAGGAGGAGGATGAGGAGGAGGAAGAAGAAGAAGGCACGCAGCATATTCAGAGTGTGTTTATGCCAAATGACACCACCGGAGATCAGAACAGACTGTTTCCAAGTTCAGAACTTTCTAATTAGCACAAACATACCCAAAAAAAAACAGAGTAGGTGTAGAAAATCAGGGCAGCAAGTAATGATTATTCTTATTATCAATTAATCTGCAGATTATTTTCTAGATTAATCAATCAATAGTTTGGTCTGTAAAATATCAGATTTTGTAAAAAATGTCTTGTCAGCCAAAGATATTCACTTTAATATGATGTAACAGCAGGATATCTCATATTTAATATATATTTATTTTCAGCCATTTTTGCGTGAAAAATAAGTGTAAAGTTGAATTGATTATGTGTTTTTCAAAGTTGGAGGACAATTATGGAAAATGCTCAAATAAATAAACATAACAAATAAAATCAAATTATTTACCATATTATTATGTGTATTATTATAAATTACATTTATAAAAACACACAAATCCTATTGTAGATATTATTCTCAGTGAGTTTTTAAAGACATCTTGTTATGGAAAAGTTGTGGGAAACCCTGGATTACTCGATTAGTTGACTAATTGTTGCATCTCGATGGAAATTAAATTCAGTAATTAAGGTGATTTTGTTGTTCTACTGGTGCTAGTATAAAGAGATTATAAGGTACACAAAAATGCCTTATTACAGTATCCTTTTTCTCATATAAAGAACAAGTATTTTCTCCATTATCAAACAGTTTTCCTGCATTGAAAAACATTGTTAAAAATGCCAAAATTCTGCTTTAGTTTTATGTAATCGTTCAGCAGAGGCAAAAAAAACCCAAACACAGACACAAGCAGAGACGATCAGACGGGGTGTAAATAGGCCAACAGTAAAAACAAATGTGTGCGTTCCCAAAATGTCGGTAATAATCCCCTCATGCACAATTACAGCGAGTACGGTGGGTCAAAACTGAAGCAGAAAATCTGACTCTAAACTGCACTGATGTAATAAGTGGGCTGGATGTGGCATGAGAGGTCAGCCTTGTCGCCTGTTTGTTCCCAGACAGCGCCCAACAAAAGTCCCCCGTGGCCCAAAAAGCATTTTCCCCCCATAGGCCGCCATTATAAAAGTAAAATGTGCCAGGACACCACAAACGGCAAAGAAGGTCAAGTATTTCTCTTTGTATTATGAATTTTTAGACCATGAAAAATGTAATATTTATGGGTAATAGTTTGGGTTCAGGCAAAGACACTAATGAGCATGTGCAAACCAGGTTTCTGGGTATATTTCCTGGGAGAAATAGTTAGAATTAATGAGAGAATTGGCGCCATTTTGGAGTCAAGTATCCACTTTTCTTCAAATACATTGATGGGAAACTATAGTGGATGTTTACAACAAACACAGAACCATCTGGGAATCTGTTTGGAAAAGGGAAGTGGCTGGAAACATCCATCTATCACGGCCAAACTTCAACCAATCAGATCGACGAACCGTATAACAAAGTCAAACTCTTGTCGAAACCAGTCCGAAAAGAGAGAAATATTCTCCAGTTCCGATATAACTGATGCTAGCAGCATCTACGCTAACCTCTTAAGCAGCTGAGTGAACAGTCACTTATCACACATGTAGCGTTAAATGACAAGTGCATTCCTTAGAGGACACGGCTAACACTTTTTCATTAAATCTGTTCTGGTTCTTGAACTGCTTCCGTTCAAGAAACCTTGGTACCATCTAGCAAACCAGCTGAGAAACATCTTTTCTGGTTCCGAACTGATTTATTTTTGGTCGAAATGCCTTAAAACTTGGTGCTTGAACCGGGAACTCCCTGTTGGAAGAAAGGGTCTATGATTGTCTCCTGCTTCATCGCAAGGTGAGTTCACAACTAACAGGTTGGGTAATAATTTTACCGCTCACCTTCGTTCTTTGCTTCTTTTCGAAGAAAGACACTCTCCAGTTTCCACCAGTTTTGAGTGGAACCATTGTAATCGAACAGAGGGCGTTTCACATTGCACAACAACCGGCTATTTCTTTGGTTCCGAATCAATTTATTTTTGGTCGAAATGCTCCAAACAGTTTGGAGCAGTTCCCTGTTGTTGGAAAGGGTCTATGATTGGTTTGAACCACTGTGTAGCACATAGCTTGAAGCCTGAAAAGATGGACTATCCAAAAACATTGGCTAACCTGTTCTGATCGTTGGACTGCTTATGTTTCTTGCCCCGTTGGACTCCATGTTTGCAATATTGCTACCACGTTCCCTGATCAAGGTACAAACTTATTTTAACATATAGCACTGATGGCCACAGGTACTTGAACTGGATCCTGACATTTTAAACCTAAAATCAAACAGTTTCTGAAGAAGATCCATCATGTAGTCCCGAATTATCTGGTGGGTCCTGTTTCATGGTGTTTTAATGGCCTACTTTATGTACGGTATAGTTCTGTTTTTATGTATTTTAAAGATCCACGTAGGGGACATGCATTGCTTATTAGCTTAGGCCATAAATGTTACTGTGTGTGGTTTTTGTTTACACTACATACTTTAGATTTACAGTAGAAATAAACATCATTACATGAGTAGTTCCTAATATACTTCAGTAGCAGTGGTGGATTCAAATGAAGAGACGCTTAGTGTCATGGTAGCATCACCTGTTCCAGCATGTTCTGCAGTCTCTCCGCCTCGAGGTCAATCACAAACTTCTTCTCCTGTCTCCGGTCCAGGTCCTCCAGGAGTCGTCGGTAACTGGCGTCGTTGAAGTTTTCGACGCAGATGGCGCTGACCTGCCAGTTGTTTTGTCCGGCCTTCTCCATGATGGCCTGCAGGATGGCATATCCTGATGCAGCCAGACACAGAAGACAAGACACATTAAAGTCGGGGAAGAAAATACAGCTTATACGAGTTTTATTTATTGGATTATAATGCTTAACAATGTTTTATTTATGTGGTATTTGTTGTGGGCAAAGATGAGCTCAGTTTGCAGAAAGCTGAGGTTCTAAAACCAGCCGGGACTCACAAAGGGTCAATTATTGATCGCAAGCAATCTAAAAAGAAGGTATCAAGAAAGTTTTGTTGTTTGGCAACAAGCAAACAAACAAGTAAAGAATAGAAAGTAGTGTTTTGAATGGATTCCTGGTTCAACGGTTAACATTTTCTGTATCGTCACAATAACATGCTCCCTGAATGCTTTTTACAGCTCTTGAGTTTGTTTACTGATGAAACCGTGGCTCAAACACTTCCTGGCTGAAATATGGCACACTGAGTCCAGTGTAGTTATAAAACACATTGCTCATAATTGCTGGTTTGAATCACAAACTGGCTTTAGTTGACACAACATCATCCTTGGCCAAAACAACCCTCTTCCTCATCTAAAAGAAAAAACCACGCACACGCAAACTCCTCTAACCCCTTTTATCTCCCTCCAACCGGATGCTGGCTTTTGGTCCAGTCGGGGGATAAAACACCAGACTCTGGAGGGGGGAGACGTTGGAGGGAGGGAGGGAGGGCCGACCCTCGCTGTCAGGTTTGTGTATAAAGAAAATGAGTGTCAGAGAGGAAACTAGGGAGCTGTGAGGGCGGCTGTTCTCCAGCAGGAACAGATGTCCCCCTTAAACGGCCCCTCCTGGTGGCCATCACAATCTGGCAACCCGTCTCCCTTTGCTCCCAATTAGTGGATTAACCTGTGCTCTGGCAACCCGGCTCCCTCTCCACCTCCTCCATCCCCTTCCCCAGCTCCCCCCCCTTTTTTTTTGCTTCCCATTAGAGGGATGTCGCGCCCAGGAGGGACTGCTGGTCGAGGGCGGACACACACAAACGGGGCAGCACATGCTCCCACATGCATGTATTGCCATCTCTCAGACCCGGCCTCCATCGGTCCTGAAGGGGGCAGGGTGGCTTTACCGACAGTCGTGGCGTTTGGGCTGGAACACCACGACTGTCGGTAAAGCCAAATGGGACGCAGTCGTGTTTTTATCAGATATAACAGACGACAAATGTCTTTGGGGATTTTTCGTTTGTTTTTTATGCCTTTATTATTTGTTGACAATGGAGACATGACAGGATATGGGGGAGAGAGAGAGATGGGGAACCCTCTAAGGCCAGTAATTGATTATATTTTAAACGTATTAAAATAATGTTTTGTTGTTACAGCTTATAACATCACATTTCTGGTTTGATACACACAGAAAATCACACAAATTCAGAAGTAAACAAGCCATTAAAAAGCCATATAATAACTAATAAATCAATTAAATGTCCAGTTTTAATAAACAACTGTTGTTAAGGTCCTATTCTACAGGACCGTAATTAGCATTGGTAATACCTGTGTTTATTATTTGTTGACGTTACTTTTTCATGTCAAAATGGCTGCTGTGAAAAAGGTCAATTGCACCAAAAAAATTAAAGCATGTTCCCCATAGCTAAGCAAACTACTAATTTCTCAAGTATCAAGTAGTAGTAGCTAGTAGTATGCTTGCTTGGTTAATCAGCTAATTAGCACTAAATACAGCTGAGGCTGATGGGAATTTATCTGTTTTTTGACCTGATGGTGGCGCTACATGAAAAAGCAGCTTCATTATAATTCATCCTGTTGGGGAACGTCTGCACCAACCATCAGCTCCATCTTTCTAACCAATTTATTTTGTGTTGTTATTCCTCAGTTTTAACAAGCTGTGGGGTGAATGTGTTAGATTTTAGTGTCAGTTGATCAATCTTTTACTTCAAGGAGGAAAAAACAACAAAACAGACATTCAAAGTCTCCAGTTCCAGCTGGTACAAAAAAAACACAATTTATTTTCTTACCTTAACATTTACTTTGTGGCGTTTGAGTCTACCTGCTCGGGGACTGCAGACAGATAGCGGCTGGTAGCTTAATCTGATACAAAAAGCCTCTGCTGGAAATGTGTTTTTTTTTGTACCCTGACAAATAAACATTAATACAAAGGACAGACTCACAGACTGAAGACGACTCCCTGCGGTCGCTGCAGCTACTTTACCGCGATTGACTGTATTGACTAGAGCTGTTGCAGGGACAAACGAGGAGCTGTTGGTGTTACAGTTGGTAAAACCATAGCTTATGTCATTACACTGGTGTGCTCACGTCCTTTGATATAGACGGTATATTGTTGTATTTCTGCAGTATGATAATGTGATGTAGAGAGATAGAGATACTTTATTATTCCAGTTGGGCAAAGTCAGGTATCCAGGAGCTCAGATTGTTTACAATAATGTAGATTAATATAGATTAAAAGACAAAAACAGATGGTAAAATGGATTTAAATAAACATAGAAGCAATAAATAAATATTCATGCATAACGTTCATTGTAAAAATAATTAGGTAAAGTAGTGGAATTGCCCTTTAAATGATCAAAACCAATTCCAATCATTTTTTCACTCAATTATCTTACAATATTTTCTTTTATAAATATCATTAATTCATTTTAACTATTTCCTTATGTGCTAGCTGTGTAAATATGCTAACAGAGTAGCTCGGAGATGCTACAAGCGAAGCTGTTTGAAGTGTCTGTACAATGCAGCTTGTGTTCAGGTCCTCAAAGTTTATATTTTAAATAATAATATGTACTTTTGTAGTGTAGTTTTCCTCACAGAAATGAAGGAAATTTGACTTTTATTACACTTCTTAAACTCAAGAAAGCCTCACGACCCCCCTTTGTGAAGCTTTAGTGACCCCTAGTGTACATAGAAGTTTATAGCAGCTTATTTTATTGATGTTGTTGAATAAAAGTGATTCTATTTGGGTTTCTATGGTAAATATCAAATCAGAATCAGAGTTCACGTCCCACCAGTTGCTTGTTTCGGGATGCAACAATCTCCTCGTCATTCAGACCGAGCCGGGCAGGGTGGCGGTGGCGTTGGCGGGATGCTTGGTGGGAAGCATAGTGGCGTCAAGCAAAGCGTGCAAAAGAGGGCCAGCTGATTACCAGCTGATAAATGTGTAGCCTCGGGGCTGTATGTGGAGCAGCAGCCAGCTGTAATCAGCGTCAGCGTCAGAGACACGCGGCCGAGGGCAGCGAGCGTGTACGTGGACTGACGCCGCAGTGTAGTTTGTGCTGATTGGAGCAGAGCTGGACACTAAGATGGAAGCAGCTGCAGCGGGTGAAGGAGAAGAGTCTTTATCCTCCAGCGTGATGCAGACTGTCAGTGGCTGTCTGCTCCTTCCTCACACCTCCTTTACTTTCTCCCCTCCTCAGGTTTCCTTTCCTCTCCTCTCATTTACTCCACTTCATCTCCCTTCTTCCTGCTTCCTCTACTCTTGAGTCCTCTTCTCTTCTTTCCTATCTATCTATCTCTTGTTTCCTTTTGTTTGTTTAATCTTCTCTAATTTCCTCTTATATCTTCTCACCTCTTTTCCTTTCCTGTCCTCTGCTCTTGTTTCCTCTCCACCATTTCATTCCCCTTCCTCTTGTATCATCTGCCCTTGAACCCTTTCCTTTCTCCTTGTTTTCATCTCATATCCTCTCCCCTCCTCTTCTTTTTCTTTATTGTCCTCTCTTCTGCTCTATTTCATCTCTCTTCCTCTTGTCTCCTCTTCCCTTGAATCCTTTCCTTTCGCCTAGGGTCCTCTTTTCCAGTTTCCTCTCATTTCAACATCTTTTTCTTTCCTTTCCTAATCCTTGTTTCATCTCCTCTATTGTCTCCTCCTCTAGTTTCCTCTCATATCCTCTTCCCTCCTTTCCTTTCTTGTCCTCCTCCTCTCCTCCATTTCATCTCCCTTCCTCTTGAATCCTCTCGTCTGTCCTCCCTTCCTTGTCTTCCTCTCCTCTGCAGAATATTTCCTGGTTTCGTTTTTGCATTTCATCTCATTTTATTCCTCTTTCTCCTATCTTTACCTCTTCCTCTCACTTTCTCTCCTTTCCTGAGTCCTTCTTTTATTCTAGCTGTATTACCATATATTATCTTTTCCTCTGTGTGTGTGTGTGTGTGTGTGTATTTAAGGGAATTTCTAGGAAGCCTAACAGGAACAGCACTCACTATAACCACACACACACTAACAGAAAGAGAGTGCTACAGTATCTCTGGTGCTTTGATGCAGGGAATCAGACTGGCGCTCATTGACTGAGCTCAGCCATGCGTGGGCTGATTCTACATTATAGTCAATACTGGATGAATGCCTGGCCCCTGTGTGTGAAAAAAATCCTCAGGCCAAAAGTGCTGCAGCCTGCACCCAAAAAGCCTCCTGAAAAGCACTCGCATGCGCATACAGACGTGTACACGTACAGCCGCTGCATTCACACCCTGCAGCACAGACTGGAGACCACGTGACAGATTTGAGGTTTTAAAACATGCAAGCGTGCCTCCTCAGATAAAAAAAACTACAGTCTTGCTCATGGTACTACTTGTAGACAGTATACAGTATAAAAAAAACCTCAAGAAATACAGGAAAACCGTTGAAGGAAGGAGGCTGCCTGAGCTCGTACAGCATTAGCTGTGATTCTCCGTTCAGCGTTTTTCCAGCACTGCAGAAAAAAAAGGACGCCTTTGTGGTTTTTAGGATTGTGGAAAAAATGCTTGTGCAGAAATTTGTTTTCACGCTATGCCAAGCAGCAAAACAGATTTCAAGTGATCAGCTAAAGCCGGTGGGCAAAAAATAAACGAGCGAGGGGACACTAAAGGGAAAGGAAATGCAGGAGGAAGACATTAACCCATTTGCGCCCCCAAAAAAGACTTTATTTTAGTAATGATGAGGTAAAATAACATTTGTTCTGGTTGGTCTAAAGTCTGGAAATGTGGTGGTGACTTACTTTGGGAAAGTATCTAACAGTTTTTAAATGTCTAGATAACATAAAAAATCATACTCTGGATTTTTTTTAAATGAGGAAAAATGCTAAAATTGTGTTTTATTTAAAGCTGCAGTAGGTAACTTTTATAAAAATAAGTTTTTGTCACATTTGTTTCACTATATCCTGACATAGAACATGAGACAGATAATGTGTAAAAAAACCAGGTCCCTCTGGCTCCTCCTAGTGCCCGAATTGCATTTGCAAGAATCAACCGGGCCCCGAATGAAAACAACCAATCAGAGCAGAGAAAGATGGAAAAGACACTTTGGGTTGGAGGCTTGAAGATAGTTGATTGCTGAGTCTCAAAGCATCAATATTTGACACCAATGAGACTCAACAATCAACTATCTTTTTCGGCTCTGATTGGTTGTTTTCTTTCGGGGCCTGGTGGATTCTTGCAAATACCATTCGGGGCACTAAGACGAGCCCGAGGAAGCTTATTTCTTCACAGATTATCTGTCTCATTATAATCTCATTTATAAAAGTTACCTACTGCAGCTTTAAGCCTCCGTATGTGTGAATATCTTTGACATTTAGCTTGTTTGTGCTCCTTTCTGAGATACAGAATTTTCTTTTATCACACTATATTTAGTCTTTGGCTGATGTTTTCTTTCCTAAAATAGTAGATAATTCCCAGAATAAGCAGTAAAAATAGAGAAATTGTATTGTATTGACTATCTATATATTCCATATAAATAAATTATTATTATTCAGGATAAATTCTGCTTATTTTAGGATGTTTTCTACCATTTTAGGAAAAGAATCAGTGCCTAAAAACTCACTTTTCAGCCAAAAGGTTTGACCAATTTTTAAAAATGTCTTCAGATTTGTGCTGGATCACTTCTACCAAAGGGAATTCAGGCACAAATGGATCAATAAAGAGAAAATACAAATTATGAAGGCCAAGAAGGGAGCAGGAGGAGTTATAAAACAACTTAAAAACCTGCTTTTCACTACTACTTCCTTAAATGCAGCATTGACTAATACTCCAGGTCATCGGGATATGTGATTCAACCGTAGCTAGCGACAGCACAGCGCATGTTTTTCCTATCTGCTGTATCTGGTGTATCAAACTCTTTGACAGCCAGCGTTTCCCCACTGTTAGGATGACAGCAGCTTCAAACAACAAGCAATCAGTCAGTTGAAATCGGTTGCTGCTGACTGATTTCAGCACCATGGACAGAGACGTCAGCAGAGCCGTCAGTTTAAAGAAGTCCAATTCAGCAAAATACAGCAGTTTTTAATTAATCTGAAACCCCCCCTCCTGCAAAGTCTGTTTGAATACACTGCTGTGGTTTTCACTCCCCATTGTCTCCCTTTCTCTGTTTATTTTTCACTTAAAAGTTTCAATGGATGCATTCAAAATGTGTCCTTGATCATTATTTAAACAGAAATATAGACAAAAGAGATTAATAAATACAGTTTTAAAGCTTTTAATAGAAGATTCAATAGATTTGATGTAAAGTTTGCTGCAGCAAACATATTCATCCTGATACTGACAGTATTTTTCTTTGTGATAAACGAGGTTTTTCAGCAGCTCACAGTTCACATTTGCATTGAAAATGTGAATATAGTACAAAAAATGTGCTTTAATATCAAACTTACATGTATATATTTTATTTAACTTAATATAGTATAGTTATTTTAGGAGTTATACATTAATAAAACAATCTCACTCACTCACAATCTCAATTACAGAAAATTACAGTATTTTGAGTTATTATTATTATTATTATTATTATTATTATAAAGTGTGGAACCAGAAAAATTAGATTTTTTTTTATTAACATTTAGAAATATATATAAATCTATATTGTTGTTATTTATTTTATTTTACGGCTTGTTTCCCGATCATCAGTCGTGACAACAGTCAGGTTGGCGGTCTGTAGGGAGAGCGTCGGGCCTCACTGGTCGGGGGAACCTTTGTTGTTGTGCGTTTGATCAGATACTAGCAGGTTTTGTTGAGAGGCTTTTTAACCCAGCCAAGCGTGTACGACCTGAAGATAAGAGGCGAGGCGAGAGGGGGAACGAGTTGTTTCTGAAGGCCGCCACAATACGGTCCTCACTCTGCAGCCTCCGTACAGCCAATCTGCCCGTTCACCGCAGTCCCACCACCCCAAAGAGAAACCCCCCCTGACTACCTTCTGGAAAATGTATGAAAGCGAGATGTGGAGATCCGAGCAGTCGCCCATATCCATTCTGTCATTGTAATGGAAATGTGACACGAGGAGGAATAAGGGCGGGCGAGTATTGACTCAGCGAGTGTGTACGTGGCCAGAGAGAGAGAGTCCAAAGAGCAAGAAACACACAAGGAGGAGACAAATACACGGTCCTCAGGTGGGGGAGTCGAGGGAGGTCCAGCAACCATCCACAACCCTGCTAACAGCAGCTGCTCTGCGTTATTGATCGCACGCCGGCCCCGAGACATGTTGTGGACCGAAAAAACACAGCCGTTATTTTAAAGGCAGGTTCATTCACAACCTGTGTTTGCCATGTAAGGGGGGGCATGAGGGGTAAAACGCCATATATACCGGCCGGCTGACAGTTACTGCAAGCTGCGGACATTTTGAATTCTCCTTTAAGGTTTGGTTAAAGGTGCCACAAGATTCTGAGGCATTTTACGTATTATTTTTATTTATTAATCACTTTTTTATTGTATTGGGCTGTAACATAACTTGAAATATCGACACCATGGCCGCACTGGAACCATATGCTGATTTAATTAAAGACTTATTTGAAACTGGCAAGACACATGTAGAGATTTCTACTACGCTGCAGCAGATGGGTTTCCAGCGATGTTCTGAAATGTGTTTGTTTTTCTGTCGTCATGTCGTCTTCCTTGACAGTCACCCGTTTAGTTCCTCTGAACAAGATGCAACTCTCCATGATTGATCCTCAGTTTTGAAGGCTAATGTTAGTTAAACTGAAGAAGTGAATCAAGCTAACGAGACAATAACTTCCGGTTCATACAAAGCGAAAAAATTAAATATCAAAATCAAAATCGATCCGGATCAATCCCGTGGCCCGTTATTTCATTTCCTATTTTTGATCTGAGCAATAAATCGAAAGTACAAAAAATGAACGAAAAGAACGAATGATACACGGATTCAAAACTGTTTTCTGTTGTTTGTTTTGAAAAAAACCTAAAAATGACCAGAAAACTGGTTGTTTTTTCGTTTCCCGTTTTTTATTTATTTTTTTAAAAAAGAAAGAATTGCAGTTTTCATTTTGTTCCCATATTTATAAATAAATAATTTCTAATTTCAAAATAAAAGTCTATAAAAGTCAGTTAGGTTATAAACACAGACAAAGTATCGTACACACACACAACACACACACACACACACACAACACGGAGAGCACATCAGCGTCCACCTAACCTCTGTCAGTGTCATACAGGAAGACGAACTTGTTCCAGTCGTAGTGGTCGAGGAGTGACAGCAGGCCCCCCCCGGATGGACGGCCGGAGCTGCAGGGTGAACTGGCTCTCACCCTCCGTGGGGAAGCTCGGCGTGATGAGGAGATGTGCAGGGCGCTGCAGAAAGGACGTCAACGTGTGGACCGAGCGCTTGTCGTACAGGGCCGAAGATGGCGAAGACACGCGGGAGTACTGGGAGCAGACTGGGGGGGGGACACACCAACAATAACAATCAATTAACAATAAGATAAATAACCTTCCTGGTCAATAAAGTGCTTTCACTATAAATGGAGTCCAAGGTCAAAGCTAACAAAGCTTGTGAAATATATTGAGATATTGTGGTTATGAATAACGTATTCATATTTATTGATTTTATTTACTAGTATAACTGGTCTGTGATTGATTATGCTAGCTAGCTAGTGTAGCTGTATTACATAGTGTAGAAAAAGAATAAAAACAAAAACACAAGATTTTTAATGAACGCCAGACAAGAGATTGCTCAGAGAAAGTAAGAGGGAAGTTTTGCCACCTGGTGTTTAAAACATGAGTTTTGTTACTTGATTAGTTAGTTAGCATAGCTCTGATCAACCAAACTCCATTCAGAAAACAAGCATTTTAAAAGTTGTTTGCTCGTCGTCGTGCACACAGACCTGACAAAGTGTGAATTGAGACTTTTTACAAATCGCCATCATGATGTCGATATTTCGGCATCATTTTTTATCCGTTTATTGACATTAAATCTCAGTTATACCACCAAGACAGGCGAGTATACACTTCGCTCTATTGTTTACATAAAAAAACATCAGTGCAGCTTTAAACATTTTAAAGCTGATCTTCATCTTTTCTTCCTATTCCTATTCCTAACACACACACCAGCTGATATCTTCCAGTTTTATCAGGATAAACAGCAGAAGTTATTTAACACGAGCAACCATCATATTTCGCTAAAAAAGCACCTGAACACGAGGATGATAAAGAAGAAAAAAATGACAATTGATGGGCCCGGGGACAACAAAAAATCACCCCAGCATTGAATGCTTTGGCACCAACGACTGGAGACAAAATAACAATCCATTATCCCACTGATTTACCACTTTAAATCCTTTCAAGAGAAACCGGCTTTAAACGCAGTAAACAGAGATCAAAACCATCCGTTTTCCTTAGATGCTTTCATCAAAAAAAAGCTGTTTCTCTTCCCCTCGTTTAAACACTACCAACATCTCCTCGTCGTTGTGTGGATATAAAACCACCACACACCCGATTAACAAAGCACGCTCGCGCTGTTTCGTAACATCAAAAACAAGCACAAACCTATGTTTTATTGGTCGGACTTTTCATTTAACTTTTTAACTAAGTCTGCTTAAGAAGGATCTCCTCATTATAGAACCAAAAAAACAGGGTCTGCTCATCTTACGAGATCCTCCGTACGATTATAATTGCCCACAACAACAGAAAAAGGGGAAAGATAATGAGCATCTTCTGCCAGTTTCCGGGTGCAAGGAGAATCAGAGAGAGAGAAACTGAAGGAAAAGATGTTTCCTCTTGTTAAAGGAAAAAGATGGAGGAGGGAAGGAGGTGGAGGGGAGAAAACAAGAAGGTGTCTGCTTTACTGACAAAACCTCATTGTTTCCATGCAGAGTGCAGGTACTTTGCTGTGGAGGGGAGTCTTTTTCTGATCCGTCTGCAGCTTCGGTGAGACAAACAAGTCAGAGAGAGCTTCTACGACTCTTGTTCACACAATTAAGGTACAACGGAGGTGCCAGGAAAGTACGGTAAAACATGGTGGTGCTGTTGTTGTGTGGTGGTGGTTTGTTGTAAACATCACACAGTTTCTTTTACCTTCCTGTCATTTAAAGTCGGTGTTTGCTTTGGGGGGAGATGTTACTACAAAGAGTTTATTATTTGGATGAAAAGAGTTGCCATTTGTCCAAATTCTTTGAGTTTTAGCTTCTCAAATGTCAATATATTTCTGTGTATATCAGAAAAGATCCAGCAGTTATCCAAGTTTATGGAAATGTATCTGGATATATGGACATCTTCTGGATACTGGATAGTACAAACATATCACCACCTCGGATATTAGACGTTTAAGGGTACATTTTTCTCCATTTTCTGACATTTTATGGACCAAACAACTTATCGATAAGTCAAGAAAATGATCAGATTCCTCTATAAACTAAAAATATTCGTTATTTGCAGCATTTTTAAGTCATAAAAGCGATTTCCAAAGTCCAACTTCTTCCGCCCAAAGATGTCCTTTTGCTTACTGTAGCTTCAGTTGGACGTTTGACACATATGAGGCTGATTTCACGAAAATGAAAACTCAATAATTAACTAAATCTCCTTGATGGATTCTTGTAAACGTCGTTAGGAGCTCCAGAAAGAGCCAGAAGAACCTGATGTTTTCACAGATTATCTGTCTCTGGTACTGCTGTCAGGATATAATAAAATTACCTACTGCAGCTTTGAAAACAGTCAAATCACTGCATTAGATTAGGGGGTCGGCAAAGCTTCATGGGGAGTCGTGAGGTCGTCTTGACTGTAAAAGGTGCTAGAAAACTTAAAAAAAATACCCACAGTAGGCCTTTATCTCAGCATTTTGTTCATTTCTGTGAAGAAATGTAAAATAAATTGTCTAATAGAAGAACGGCCGAGAGTCAGGGAGAAGAAAACACACACAAAAGAAGCCTTATATGTAAAAATTACATAATACAGACAGAGAATTGTATAAAAAGTTCCCTAAACAGGAAATAATCTGCTCAAAATTAATCTAAATCACTTATTTTACACAAATTTCCTGCTGTTCACTGTTTGTGTTCATTGTACAGTTTTTATTATAA